CATATTTTTGCATTGACTAATTGTCGATGACAATTTTACTTGTCAGAATCACGGATATAGCAGTAACAGAGAATGTGGCATTTGAAGACATTTGAAAATTTTTCCATTGGTTTAAGTCTGGTCTTATTGTTTCGTGGAATTTTGTATTACGCACTGCGATGACTATACTCCCTCCATATTGAAGTGAAACTTTCAAATAATTAAAACTTTATGGGTAACAATCAATAGCAAACTCTCACAGTGTAATAATGTATGTAGATTTTATTGGAATGCTTTCTATGTGCTTGGTTGACAACAAATGGCAAAAATACGGCAGTCAAAATTTCTGTTATCTCAGCAAATCAAGCCTTTGATATCTTTGCTGAGGATCTCTACTTAATTAGATTAGAAGTAGCGGGAGTTGGATTTCTATGGGACAGTAATTTAACCATTTCGCGTGTTTTTTATTCGCCAGGAAATGCGCCAACACGTACAGCAACAACAGCAACAGCAAGCGCAAAACCAGGCCCTTGGGGGATCAGCTTCTCAGGTGTTTGGTAGTCAACTTCAACATCAAACCTCTACTCGAAGCCATGGCGCTCCACAGTCAGTTATTAATCCCAATAACGCTATTGTACAGCATAAACGATCGACAGCAGGTGAACCTGGTGAGTCGCCTTACTACTTATAGGGACTTGGGGGTAGTGAGGAGGTTTGTGATGTGCTTGTTGTTAGTCTATTTAGAATCTGCCTTCGTGGATTGTACTGGTACACTATGTTCGCATCTCATGATATTTGTTTCAGTTCAATATTTATTTATATCAAATGGCAGGCGTCTTGATAGTTATCATTATCCCTTTAGTTGACTTCAGACTTCACAGAGGGAAGGAACATCAAAGTGGAAAAAAGTCTGGGGGAGGGGAAGGAACATCAAAGTGGAAAAAAGTCTGGGGGAGGGGAGACAGAAGAGTGATTCAAAGATGTAAAAGAGACAGACACAAAGGTGGAAAAAAGGTGAGGTGTGTACTGTGGCAGGGGACGAATATGACATACACTGGGTTGATGGTGGTTTGGAGTCAGAAGTCAACTGCCGGTTAATGGACCTTTCGAAAGCCGAGTGATAGACTTTTTTGCCGTAAGAAAATACGCTGCCCAGGGTGCACCACGTGGAGGTAAGTCTATCGCACACAAACTTCCGGTTAATAGACTTTTTACCGTATGAGTATACGTTTCCCAGGGTGCACCACGTGGAGGTAAGTCTATCGCACACCCACCAGGGTGCACCACGTGGAGGTAAGTCTATCGCACACCCCTTCAGTTCAATATAATAATATGACAATTTTGGTTTCTATGAAGTTTTGCCGCTCTCCACTGAGACATTGAACGTACCTGCGAATTTCAAGGAGTTCTAGTAGATCCAATGAACGAATTATGTTCAATTAATATTTAATTAATTAATTTTAGCATCGATTGACAGTTTCTGTCCTGGAAATTTTAAGCTTTTCTCTTGAGAAGTAATCTCGAATCTTAATTATATGCGCGAGTTAATGGCTTGAAACCATGGGAATGTCAATTTCGCTTGATGGATACTTTTGATAGCCGTTTGGAGAAAATTACATCGAAATAATGGCTTTATTCTTCCATTTCTCCTAGTAAAATTTTTGTTTTGTGCAGACTAACTTTAGATTAGAGAATAAGTTAATCATCTTAAAATGAAAATATTGGAAATTGGCGCCTTTTTGAATGATTTGCACAATTTCCATTCTTAGAATCAAACTCACTCTTTTCTACTCAAAAAAATTTTAAAGTGTATGAAATTTTTGTTTATTATTTTAGAAGACCTTTAAATCTCTTCTTAGACTAGGCAGGTTTTCGAATTTTTCGTAATCTTTGAGTAAATTGTATTTTTATTCACATTCTAGTCATCTTACCTCTTCT